GGAAGGAAGGCGAACAATTTGAGCTATTAAAAGGCAATTGATCAAAACATCATTATATATTTGGATTCTTCACGAGAAGAGCTTCCATCGATCTCACTTTCAGCTTGATTGGAGCTTTTTAAGAGACGAAGTTATAGCGAAACGACGTCGGTTGACCATGAATTAGGAGCAGTATTGTGGCTGATCGTCGGTCACCATTGACCGACATCATCCCACAGGACAGACTCCATATTTGGTTTGTTGCGTTCAAGAAAAGGCTAGAAGAATGAATGAAAGAATGTGCGCAAACAATTGAAATCCCTTAGAAAACAAAAACAAAATTGCAATTTGCCAGAGTTTAAGCAAATTTTCCAAAGTCCTGGGCTATTTAAAAAACAGTGATCAGCCATAGGAAACACTACTTGAACGCTTGGCGCGAACAAGATTAGAACGAAGGCATCTGCCGATGTGCTGAATTCGAATCGCTTGTAGATAGTAACAAGCCCGAGTACTTCCGGAGTCTTCGTATCGCCAATATGGATTCTACTGCCGATAACGCTGATATCCTGGAAAGATCTTTTGACGATTTTGTGCTCGTGATCTACGCAGAGAATCTCTATGAAACTATGGAAGAAGGTTTCGTTTCTGCAGCTGTGTGGGATCAAGAGACTCTGACACAGATGACACCGACAAATCTGATAGCGATATTGACAAAGAAGATAACATCTCGACTGACGCGATGCACATTCTAATGATTGATGGGTTTTCAACGAGCGGACAGGAGTGCATCAAAATGTCGAATTCTGTAACCTAATTCCGCAACCGGTCGAGCAACATAATAGTATTGGTAAGGTGTGCAGGAATGTACTGCAGCAGCTGTACTAAGACCCGATTTAGCAGCCATGAAATTCTATGCGTAGGGCCCCTACACTGCTTATTATTGGCCGCACCCGGTAGTCCGCTGGATTGCTTGATGACATGGCAGTATGGGAAAGCTCATGTGTTTTGATAAGTGTGTAGAGAACAGGGCAGATAGGGAGGTCCAATTTTAATCGTCTACCTACCAACTTGAGGTAGTTTCGAAAATTGCACTGTCTCAACCCACACCCTGTTTAGCCGCCAGTATTGCTTATTGAACTCCTCCAAAGAAGACGGTTTGTAGAGAGTCTCGTCCTCTAGTTGTAAACGTGTTATTGCATGATCTACATAGTTCTCGAGGCAGTAGCACAAACTCCCCTCCCTTATCACTGACCGATATTCTGATACCATTACTGGGTGCGAGAGTCTTAAGTTCCCTAAGTCCCTGTTTTTGTGCTGTAGTTAGATTTGTTGTATGTCGCGTTCACACACACACCTGCAAAGGAAGAGACATTTAACTGCAGACATCTATCTATATCTATAATAATAGGATAGCTGATTAGCACTCATACGTACAATGGAGCTGGTCAGCCAATATCAGCATTGAATTATTAAGCTGTGAACTACTCTTTCTATCACTTGTTTTGATTTGATGTTTCTTCCCCTACTCCTGTTTTGCCCTAGTACGCGATGCGAAAGTCCCGCAAGGATGGCGTGCTGGGCGAAATAACAGCAGTTAACAAAATATTAAGTCGAAACTATCATTTTTAAGGCAAAATGGAAGTCAAATTGTGGAAGTCAACCGATACATCTTTTACTCGCAAATGATATACAACTCAGTGGAGATCGAAGGAACTGTCTGTGAAAATGGAAGTGCTGTCCTTGTAATGACTTTCAAAGGTCGCACATCGCATAGAAGGCCCAAACGATAGAAACGTTAATCCTTATCACAGAAATGACATCATCGACTTGCATTGCGAATACAGTGGCAGTAGTGAACATGGATACACCTCAAACCAACCGTCATTCAACACATCTTCCTTGGGGAGATCAAAGATTCGGAAGCCTCTGGCAAGTGGTGCCATGGCAGCGTGGCTGCACAGGAGTCAGCCTGCCCAGTAGTGGCACAACTCTCACAATCACCTCAGAGATTTAGCAACTACTTCCATCATTCACAGGCATGATTTGAGCTACGCATTCAGAGGGTTCTTAGAAACATGTGAAACCGATCCATTGATGAGGTAGACCCGTATCCATTACTTGAGAAGGGAGATGTCATGGAGATCACGATTTTCCACCGGTCCCCTGCTGCCACTGATCCTTCAGCAAGGCAAAATAATAGTCGGATCCTTCTTCGCCGAAAACTTGCTTCTCCATAACGGAATCGATTTTTCGTCGTCGTTGTGTTCGGGTCTGTTTCGCCGCATAGATCATCACCATTGGAACCAGTACACAGTACCAGTTGAAAATCTGCAAAATAGTAAAATCAGTCACGTTCAAAAACAAGAGAGTGGAGACTCACATAGACGAAAGTGGCAAGAGTTTTGTTCAAAATCCTTGGCATCATGTGAGCGGTAGATCTAACAGAAAGCACCAGAATCGGATAAAGTACGATGATCACTGCTTGAGTTATAGTGGTCAGTCGCATGAACCATATAGCATCACGATTCATGGTAGCTTTGAAATGTCTGGAGACGTCGTACCGTGACCTGAATGCTTCATCTCAGTCGAGACGAAGGGACAAAAGGTAGTGGCTCAAAATCTCGAAAGAAATTCTGAAAACGCTTTAGACTTACTACAAACTCA